CTTAAATATTTTATAAAATTTTAAAATATAATTTCTTTTATTTAAAATTTCTACTTATTTAAAATATAAAAACTAAATTTATTATTTACTATCCACAACACCAAATCAATCACCTGCACAAAATACCCCATTCATAAAATATTCTCATTTTAATTCCTCTTTGGCGGGTTACAACTTTGATTCCATAACAATGCTCGATGTCATCTCAACATCGACGTCAGTTGTCATTGCAACATCAACATTTCAAAATGATCTCTATATCAAAGTCTGACGCCATCTTTATATTCATGCTCGATGCTAGCAATTTTTACTCCTACAACTTGACATCTCATCTTTGTCCAAAGTCTTCTCAACATCGACGACCAACACCCTCTCAACATCGACGATAAACGCCCTCTTAACATTGACACTCAATATTTACTGCATAACATCAATGCTCGACTCTCGACAGCATTGTTATCTCCTCTCTCGATGACTGATAAACGACATCAATGCCCGACTCTCGATATCTCAATATTAATCATTTTAAGTACAAATTCTAATTAAATGACTTATTATTTTTAAAATTATACTTATTCAATTTTTATACACTATTTTTAAAATATGAAAACTATAATACCGTATCTAACCCATGTGCGTGTCCTGTATTTTCAATAATTGAAGTGTCCCGTGTCTGTATCGTGTCATATCCATGTCGCCGTGTCCGTGTCTGTGCATCATAGATCTTTGTAGAAGCCCCCTATGCAGGGGAGACATTGGGATGCTACCAAAATTTTGACTGAAAGAAAAATGTGAACAAAATATATTTGGAGAATTCTTAAGCATTTTTGGAATAATTTTGGAGAATTACTAAACTTAAATTTAAAAGCTAAATAAATAACAAATATATTCTCCATCAAGAACAAAATGTCATATTTTTTTTTAAAATTATACTTATCACCACTCATTTTTAGCTTCAGAATAGTCTTCATAGAATATATTCTAAAGGAACAGAAATTTCACTATAATATGAATGGTGATAAACATGCCTTGTAGAAATTTATATAGAGGGCATTATGTCTCATATGTGAATTCCTTGGAATATTTTTCAATTAAACCAACCATATAGGCATAATTTCCCATATTAAATAAGATTTGCTGTTAGCTTTGCATGTTTCTTACACATCAACTACAATGAATCATACCCAAAGAATCAAGTCCCTACAACTTCTTGTCTATCAAGTTGCCATGATTATGATCATAATGAGCAAGACAATTCGATAAGTATGTGGCAGCAAACAACAAACCATTGGAAGAAGAAAACAAAAGTGAAAGAAAGATGAGTTTGATTTCTTTGTCTTTGATGCTTTGGTTAGTTGAATTCGGCTTATGATGTAGCCACCAGTGAGTTTTCAACATTGGACTTGATATCATCTATAAAAAAATAAAATCATAAAGACAAATCAACAAGCTAAAAAAATACAATTCTCTATCTCTCTCTCTATATATAGAGTGCAAATCCCTCTTAATGTGAAATCAAATAAAAAAAGGGTTGCTATCATATGAAATGTAGAAGATTCAACATAGGAGTTTGGCTTTTAGTTTGAGTTTAGTGATAAAGGGGATTTAATTTGCAATCGAGCGGATCTTTAGTTGTCATGTTTCTAATTTTACGCAAGATCCGTTTATCTGAATGCAAGCTTTGGGAAGAAGATTGAGAAGGAATGATGATGATAGTAGATCCTCCAAATAACATTTATGTTTAGGAGAAGTCCAAGATTCACATTTATGTCATGAGAATGTTATTGCCTCGAAGAATATCATGATGCCAGAACAGAACAACTCAAATTCATTATAAATATGCTTGGCACCATAAGCGATATTGTTATTGGGGTCATGGACAACCTAAAAGCTTTTTTTTATTTGAAGTCTCTACCATATACTCCGAAAATTCCTCTTGATGCCACCGGATTCGCAACAGTTTTATAAAACGGACATAAGACGTTTGTAGGCCCCTAAATGAAATTTTGTGCACATCCCAACAACAATCACTTCACAAACAATCATATTTGAGTATTTAAAAATGCCCCTCTCCTACATTAAAAATAGAATTTTCTAAATTTAAATATCAAGCATCAAGTAGGGTGTCGATGCCTCTAGAATGTGTGTAGCAACCTCGAGAAGCAAGTGATTGCCCCGAGAAGAGAGCTACTTCCTTGAGAAATGAGTCACCACCTCAAGAAGCAAGCACATTAATTTAATAAGAATTTTAAAACCCCGTATATGCTCCGACAAAATGCACTAAACAAATAAAAATAATGTATGAGAATGCTGCGCGAGTCAAAAGTGAATCTAAGTTCAAGTATAATTCCCATGTTCGAATGAACTGGAGTTGACATGACTTGAACTACTAACAAATACACGGTCATAGCGCCGACCGGAGTATTTGATTTTATAAGTGAATATTAGGCCTTTAAGATCTATTAAAAGAAAGGTTAAATACTAAAAACATGAAATCAATACTAAACCCAATCTTCTGTTAGCATGCGAACATAATTGGCACGCTTTAAATAACAAATATACAAGCTATTTAAAATCCCGATGATAACCATATTGAAAGCTAATCTCAACCAGAGGGGACCTTAAACATTTAAAATGCCCCAAAATTTCAAAAGTAAATCATGTTTGGAACAAAATTTGGATAAAAAAAATAAAAACTTAAATTTTACAATATCCAAATATTCAAATGAAATTTGTTTTTTTTTCTAAATTTAAAGCAAAAAAAAATTATTATCCACAAATGTTTGTTCATGATGATAAATTTAAGAATATGTTTGGTTCACAAAGAGAAAAATGTCTAATTGAATGTATCATTGCGATTCATTCTTAAATGATTTCTCGTCAGCGAGGATGTGGCATGTGCCCTATGACCGGGTGGTTTTGCTACAAAATAGCACCACTATATCACGGTTACGGTCAAAGCCCGTAAGTTCCCCAATGGTTAAAAGCACCTTAAGTAATGAATTATAAAATGCACTCAATAAGGCATAAAGTTTTTTGTTAGCTAAGGTTGACTAAAATTTGTCTCCTTAAACAAACATTCATACCAAGTATACAAGGTAACCTTGGACAAAGCAACTCATGGCTGCTGACAAGGATCCTTGGGTCAGGTTGGGTCTACTACGTCCTCTGACTAAGTAGACTAGGAACCATGAAGGGATCTTGATCGGGATCGTCATCATCTCCTCCACCATCCGCTATAAGTATAAAAATAATAAATGTTATAATTCTACAAAGTTCACATGTTACTATTTGCTAGGTATTTCATACGTATTTCATGACTAGCCTTAATCAAAAGTTCTTTTGGCTTCAGGTCGGATTTGTCGGAACTCCTTTGAGGTTTCGACGACGTTCCTTTATGTGGGGCCAGAAATCACGACAATTTTGTTGGATTGAAAGTAATGAAGACGACAAGAGGGAGCGCGTTTTTCCCAATTCGCGCGCTTCTTTGGCCAAATTTCGCAAGTTGCAGACGGTCGGGTCTGGGTTGCATTTTCTAACCCATTTGCAAAAATGGGTCGGTTTTGGGTCGTGTCAAATAGTAGCGAGTCAATATCAGGTTCGACCCTAACCCAACCCCTAACTAGATTTTGACACCCCTAGAGGTTAAGGAGGGCATTTGCCCCTTTGAATCGACTCAGCTAGATCAAATCGATGGCGAGGACTTTGGGGGAGTGAATCGACCTCAAAATTGGTGTTCGAGTCTTCTATTTACTCTGTTGGATCAGATCGATGACCGAGGGCTTCAGGGGACCGAATCAACCCCGGGATTCCTCTGATTGCAATTGCAGCACCTACTTTCATTAGTGTTAATAATAACAATAATAATTATTATTACTATTATTATAATAATTATTAAATAAAATATTATTTTACTAATAATTATTAATTATTTCCCCTTCTCTTCTCACCGTCTTCAAATCAAGAATGACTAGGTCAGACGAACAGAAGAAGGTTCGCAGTTGGTGTCGCGTGAAAGAAAGACCGACAGTAGGCAAGATTGTGAATCATGTTTATGTGCGGATCGGAGGTCATAGGAGGAACCGTGCGTTTGGTTTTATTTACCTGGGAGACTTGCTTGTTAACCTATGGAACTGGAGCAGGAGTTCCGATTAGATTTTTTCATGTGTAGGGGAAGGCAGACGTCAGGCTCGGGAGGGAGGCGGAGGCCGGTCTAGGCTAGCGTGGTCAGAGAGAGGGAAGACGGTGCGGCTTGTGCCTTGCTCGCGTGAGAGAGACCAGTGGCAGGGGAGCAGCTCGGGTTTGATTCGATCACGTGAAGGAGGCGAAAGGGATCAGGGCTTGGTTGCAGGTCCTACGTACAGACGGAGGAGGATTGAGCAAGAGGTATATGTTTTGGTTATGAGCCAGAGAGTTCAAATGCCTTGGGGTTTCTATTTGTGTGTCTCTCCGAATGAGAGAGGTAGGGCATTTGTGTCGTGGGAGGAGCGGTTGCTTTCAGAATGTGAAAATGTCGTGGGATCGTGCGTGAGTTGGTCAATGGATAGGCAAACGATCAACGATGAGTACAATCCAAACAGAGCCAAGCTGATTATAAAAACAGATCATTTTAATATATACACATTTACTTTTGAAATACTAGCATATCAAGAAAACTAATTTTCTACTTGTGCTAAGTCCATTCAAACACTGAACAAAATAAAGCAAATCACAAGGATTTTTTATCAAATAAAATGAACTCGCTGTTCAAAATAAGAAAACAGTATGCAACAGATTTATAGATCATCTGCTAGTAGGAACCGTATGTCGTGCTTCTAACAGTAAAACAACAAAGGGATGCAATATATCAAAGCATAGATCTATTCTTGTTCTACACAAGTGACAGTCATATTCTGTCAGATGAACCGTGAAAAGAAAATATTTACAAAATCAGTATAAGAGACAGAAAATCTGTGGCATTCTACAGAAAATAATTCTTTTATTTAGTTCAAATGTCATACCTTTCACAGGATCAAGAAGAGGGGGATATTTAGTTCCATCAAGCCTGTGTTCTAAGAGCTGTTGAACAGTTTTAGAGTAAACTGCATTATTAGGATTCTCAAGAATCGATATTTGATCAATCTTAATTTTAGGATGGCAAAAACCCATGAACTCTTTACTTTCTATTTCTCTGACTTCATAGTTCATCCCAGCTGCATTACCACGGTAAGGAAACTTTATATTTATAGCACCAGTTCCTTTTCGGGAACTAACTGATGTAAAATACTCTTCATCCATTCCCCTCTTTCCTTTAGGTTGAATGAAATAACCTTGTGGTGTGTTGCTATTTTCTTTCTCTTTCAACTTATTCATGGGGGCTGACGGAGATTGCACAGATGAGGCCATATCAGTTGTCAGCACTAGAACAACATACTTTTTATGCGTAGAAGATGGTGTTTTAATGATTACACCAAGTAAATGATCATCATCCTGCCATTCCATTTTTTTTAAACAAAAAGCCTTGTAAGAAATGAACCAATAAGCAGCTAACAAGAAGTTTTTTTAGGAAACTAGTTTTCATTCAAAGATTTAAAAAAAAAAACACATGACATTAGGATATCAATCTAAGAGGAAAAAGAAACATATCTGCGATTTTGCAAAACTATAATTGGCTCATTAATTTTGAAAAGACTGAATGGCTCCAAAAACTTCCCTTCATGTAACATATACGTCCACTTACTGCTCCAGTCTTATCGTCTTTAAATATCTATATCAATTATGTCACTCGTTGCGGCCACCGAACACCATTCCATCCTTATATACACATAAATTTTGCATGTGAGTCATATACTTTTGAACATCCCAAAGCCAACATCCTTCTTTGTGCAGAGGCTAGGTATGTGATATGACTTGAATCCAGAAATAGAAGATTTTTCACTAAAACAACACCCAAAGATGGGAAACACTAATTCAACACCCTTAAATCAAAGATAACAGCAAATACAATGCACCGGTACATGAAAACAATAAGACAATCCTTAAAACAGAGAACAACAACACTACAACTCAACACCGGAAAGAAAAATAACTTTATCTACTCTTCGAGAGGTAGATCAGCTCTCCCCGTACAATAACCTCTTTCTTCAAACTGCTCTACGAAAAAAAACCCCTTCAACATCCCCACCCCAACCCCCTTTTTATAGCATTACTCCCTCCTAAGTTTTCCCCTCCTTTGATAGGTAATAAATGTTGATTTGGGCTCCACATTTGGCTTCCCCATGTGGCAACCCACTTGGTTTTTCCCTATGCTGCCCCTCTTTACTTTCTCCGGCTCCCCAAGTGCCTTGGTGGGCCCCACTGGTTTATCATTACTCCCTTCCCAAAAAGACACCTAGTCCTCAAGGTGGAAGGAAGGAAATTGCTTCCTGATTGTGTGATAGTGCTCCCATGTGGCTTCATATTCAGGCAAATTCTTCCACCTAATTAGTGCCTCCTTCGCCCCGGTCTCGCCCTGATGCACCTCTACTACTTCCATTGGCTCCAAAATCACCTCCATGTCATCTGTCAATGTAGTCTATAATGTTAAGGATAGCTTGTGTTCTCCAATTGCTCGTCGTAGCTGTGATACATGAAATATTGAGTGAATAACTGAGTTGGATGGCAAGTCTAAAAGGTAAGCTACTGTGCCGATGCGTTTCAATATTTCGTAGGGTCAAAAATAGTGGGGAGAAAGTTTTTCATTCTCTTCTTGCTACAATCTTTTGTCAATATGGTCAGAGCTTCAAAACCACTTTTTTGCCACGACCCAACCCAGGAACTCGACTTAACAAGGCGGGAATAAAAAGTCGGACGGTAGTAACAATTCAATTCATATCATAAACAAATTAACATAAAACTTCCTGAATAGCTACTAATTACAAAAAAATAATTGACATAAAACTATTCATAAAATCTTTTCATATACTTAACATATCACAAACCATAGATTACATGTTTGCATTTGCACGTCGTCTTTTGTAGACGTATTCCTCTCCTCTATTAGAGATTTTTATTTTTTTTGGATACGTACTTGAAATATTAATTTGATGGGTTGAGTTTACAATGTAAACTCAGTGGGTAATCATTATTTAAAAATATAAAAATAAATCAGGCATATCATAATATACATATTTCTTATACTTCTTTCATATTACATAATCAATATACATACATCTTCTTTCATGTATAATAGATCTTATAATTTCACATAAGTCCTTTCATATTCTATCATATTTGTTCATTTCCACTTAACATTTCTTTTAATAAATTTAACATTTAATTCATTTACATATTCATTTCCATATCCAATTTTATTTGTACAGGAGCACCGTCTAAATGTACAAATAAATGTATAATAAGTTACATTTTCATCTACTTTTTAACGGCACGAGTACGTTGCTTCTCCAACCATTACTATAAGGGGGTGAACTCCTATAAATTGCATGTATATCCTTTTCCTTTTTCATTTATTTTTTTTCATTCATTCATATGTACTTCTTGTATATATATATATATATATATATCTCTAAAAACTTTCTAAATTTACTTTCTATTTCCTTTATATGTATTCTCTTTATATGTATTTTCTTTCACATATTCGTATACTTTTATATGCATTTTCTTATTCATAATATGATAGTTTCCAAAATGAATTATAAATAGGGAAATGATTATATAAAATATTCGTTTCAAATGAAAATAAAATAGAATAAAGAGAAATTATATAAATACCCACTTTTATTCTTTCAAATTCTCGATCCTTGGTACAACCTAAAAAAATATGCAATCATGTAAATTTTCTACATTTATCTTACATAAATTTTACATAAACATTTATTTAATTATTTCTTACCTCAAACCTCGAATTTTTCTTCCTTGTTGAATCGAACACCTATAACTTTCGATTTATTCCTTTCTAAAATCTCTAAACATATACAATATAAATTTTCATGTAAATATAAGCTGATAACAAAATTTTAATAAAAAACTTTACGATACAAATTTACTTACAAATGAGGATTTTCCAAAAATCCAAAATCTTTCTTCTTTCTCTCCCAAAATCCCTTCTCTCTTTCAATCTCTTCCTTTTCCCTTATAAAAAATATCACTTGCTTTAATTGGAAGAAAAACAGGAAGATTTATACATAAATGAAAAGGAAGAAATCAACAAACCTTCTTCCTCATTTCTCCTTGTTGTTCTTCTCATTCACCGTCGTTTCTTCCAACTCTCCACTTCTTTAGCGATAGGAATGAAAAGGAGTTGGTAAATCTTATCCCCGAATGCGACCGTTCGCTCAAAATAGAAAAACAAACTTTCCCAATCCTCTTGGTCCGCTCCAGGCGTTGTTCTGCTTCTGTCTGTCGCAGGTTGTTTGCAAAACCGGGTTGGTTTCGGGTCGGGTCAAATAGTAGCGGGTTGATGTTGGGTTAGACCCGAACCCGACCCATGACCCAATTTTGACACCACTAAGAGTCTTCAAGTGTTGTGATAAAGCATCGGCTGCCCTGTCATCTAGTCCAGGTTGGTACTATATCTCAATGTCATACCAATAGCTTGGAGATTCATCGCTGATGCTCTTCTGTCACCATCCTCTGCTCTAGCAGAAACTTCAAGCTCATCTGATCAGTCCTGACTATGAAATGTCGTCCCAACAAGTACGAACGTCGTTTCTGTATGGCTAGAACATTCGCCATCAGCTCCCTCTCATAAATTGATTTGAGCCTTGCCCTGGCAGTCAGTACTCGACTGAAGTATGCCACTGGCCTTTGATTTTGCATGAGTACCACTCCAAGTCCATAGCTTGAGGCATCCATCTCCACTATAAAAGTCTGACTGAAATCTGGTATTGCTAGCACTGAAACAGTAGTCATGGTTTTTTTCAACTACTTGAAGGCTCTGGTCAATGCTCCCCCCCCCCTCAATTGAAAGCTATTCTTCTTTAACTGTTCTGTTAGTGGTTCGGCAATCGAGCTGTACCCCTTTATAAACTTCCTGTAATACCTTGTGAGGCCCAAAAAGCCTCTAAGTTCTTTCAGCGTCTTAGGTATAGGTCACCTCAGCATCGCCTCAATCTTGCTTTGATCAGCTGGCATCCATTCTTGAGACACAACATGTCCTAAATACTCCACTTTGGATTGTGCAAAAGAGCATTTTTTTTCATGTTGGTGAATAGTTGGTGTTCCCTCAAAGTTGCCAAAATGATCTTTAGATTATCCAAGTGCTCCTCGTATGTCTTGCTGTAAATCACAATATCATCAAAAAATACCAACAAGAACCAAAAGAGGTACGGCTGGAAAATCTTATTCATAAGAAACTGGAAGGTGGCTAGAGCATCGATGAGGCCGAAAGGCATCACTAAGAACTCGTAATGTCCCTCATGTGTCCGAAAAGCAATCTTGTGCACATCTTATGCTCTCATCCTGGTCTGATGGTAGCCCAACTTCAAATAATCTTGGTAAAGGTCACTGCTCCATACAACTCGTCCAATAGCTCATCCATCACATGAATAAGAAACTTATCCAGAACGATTTCATTATTCAGGGCCCGATAAACCACACAAAATCTTCAGCTCTCATCTTTCTTCTTCACCAATAGTATCGGGCTCGAGAATAGACTCATGCTTGGCCGGATGATCATTGCTTCCAACATCTCTCGAATCAGCTTTTTTATCCCATCCTTCTGAATTTGAGGGTGTCAATAAGGTCTTACATTGATGGGTGTAGCTCAGTCCCTCATGATAATGGCATGCTCTTACTCCCTTGAGGGTGGTAATCCATGAGAGGCTTAAAATATATCTCCGAACTAGTGCAGTAGTGGCTGGACTAGCAATGGTACCTCCTTTACTTCGTTCTCCTAAATCCCTTCCATGCTCTAAAGCTCCACTAAGTATCCTCCTCCCGAGCCTTATATAGCTTTCACCATGATCTTGAGAGATATCATGGTCCTGAACAAACTAGAATCCCCCCTAATGATCATCTTCCACCTTCCACTTGGATTTCAATTGTCAAGGCCCTCCAATTTATCCTAGTTTCCCCAAAGTCTGCAGTCATCTCATCCCCAATATCACATAAGTGCTTCCTAACCCCAATGGAAGAAAATCCTCACTTACATGTACCCCCTATAGTGTTAGTAGTAGCCCCTATAGATGCTCGTACTCCTTTCCATCTTCCATGTTCCCATCATCACCTCATAACATCCCGTGTCTACTAGTGTAGCCCCTGTGGGTTGCCCCACTATCTATCAGCACTACCACAGCCTTTCTCTCTATATTCTTTCTTACTTTCATGGTGTGGTTTAGAGTTAGCCCCACCATTGAGTTCAATGAAACCTCAGCTACGTCCAGGTGTAGACCACTTCCTCTCCTTCACCCTCCCCTTTAGCTTCATTGTCATCACATACGGAGAGCACCTGAAGTGTCTGGTCCTTACACCTATGCCATGGGGTAAACTTA